TTCGTTCTCTCGCTTTTTTACTCTCTCTCTCTCTCTCTCTCTCTCTCTCTCTCTCTCTCTCAATTCTCCACTTTTTTCAATAAAACCCGCGCAAACACACACACACATTTACTCTCTCTTTATTTCTCTCATCCACCATCCACTTTCTTTCTCCTCTTCCACTTTTTAAATATTTTTCTTTCGCTCTTCATTTTCTTTCTTATTTTTCATTGCCTCAATTTGAAATCTGTTTTCATTCTATAATGATATGTAATAAAATCGTTATTATCCATTGACCCATGAATTTCCGGGCAGGACCAAATTCACGTTCATTTGTATGTTTTTCCCTTTCACTCTTTTCTTGTTTCTTTCTTACCCCGTCTTAGCTTCTGTTTCTCTCACTTTTCCCTTTTTCTTTCTTAATACCCGCGGAAAAAAATTCTTTATTTATTTCTCTCATCCACCATCCACTTACTTTCCCGTCTTTCACTTTTTTAAATGTTTTTCTTTCGCTCTTCACTTTCTTTCTTATTATGATTATTATCCATTGACCAATGGATTTCCGGGCAGGCCCAAATTCAGGTTCATTCTGTTTCTTTTTCTCTTTCACTCTTTTTCTTGCTTTCTTTCTTATGCTGTCTTCGCTTCTCCTTTCCTCACCTCTCCCTTTTTTTTTATAATACCCGTGCAAATACACACACTGTCTCTCTTTCTTTATTTCTGTCATCTACTTTCTTACCTCTCTTTGTCCTTATCTATGTATATGTATATCTATATGTATCTTCCTTTTTTCTTTGTCTCAATTTATAATCTCTCTTCATTTTATAATGGTACATAATGTAATAACTATTGACCCATGGAATTCCTGGCTGGCCCAAATTCACATTCATTCTGTCTTTCTCTTTCACACGTTTTTCTGTTTTCCCTACCCTGTCTTCTACTCTCTCTCTCATTTCTTTCTCTCCCTAATTCTCTTTCTTTTGCTGTGCTTGTTTCTCTTTTATTTTATTTTACCATGTCGAGTTTCTTTCCCTTTTTGCCTCTTCTGTCTCTCGCCTCTCTCTTTCTTTCTCTTTCAGTTTCTCTCTACTTCAATCTCTTCTTCTCTATCGTTTTGTTTGTTATCTGATCTCTCTCTCTCACTCTCTCTCCCTCTCGCTCTTACTTTCTTACTTCTATAGCTTTTTATATTTTCCTGACTCTCTTCCTTTTTCTCTGCCTTTCCTTTTATCTCTGTCTCTGTCTGTCTGTTTCTGTTTCTCACTCTTTCTTTTTTCTTGCATTTCTTTCTCTGTGAGTGTACGCATGTATCTCTCTATCTCGCACTTTCTCTCTCTCTATCTCTCTCTCTCTCTCCTCTCCCCCTCCCCCTCTCTCGCTCTCCCTCTCGCTCTTACTTCTATAGCTTTTTATATTTTCCTGACTCTCTTCCCTTTTCTCTGCCTTTCCGTTTATCTCTGTCTCTGTCTGTCTGTTTCTGTTTCCAACTCTTTCTTTTTTTTTACATTTCTTTCTCTGTGAGTGTACGCATGTATCTCTCTATCTCGCACTTTCTCTCTCTCTCCCCTCTCTCCCCCTCCCCCTCTCAGGCTCACTCTCTCTCTCTCTCTCTCTCTCTCTTCCCCCTCCCCTCACCACCAAACTCTCTCTCTCACTCCCTCTCCCTCTCTCTCTCTCAATAATAAAATGGTTCGTGAAATTTTCTATCCTTTCTATTTCATATAAAATTTACAACAGTAATATAATAAGCGACAGGGCTAGTGAACTACAAAGATGACAGGTTATAACACAGATGAAATAACCAAAATTACTCGACCTCCGCCAACCAGTATAAATGAAAAGTAGTTTTATGAATATATGATCGCACGAGATAGCAAGTTCACTTAACCTCTTTTACAAACATACGAGCTCATATTTCTGTAAGATGACTTTGGTTTTGATTAAATTGAGCTTTAATAAGATGGAAACAATGTGGATTTTCTCAGACTAGAGAGGTGGAGTATTCGTTTCGTTTACCTCAATTTTAAAGCGGCATGCTGTTTCATGCCTCTAAGCTTTGAAATTTAAGTCTTGCAGGGAGAAAGCGTCAATATTGGCCCTTAACCCAATTACCGTGCTCTTTTCTACCTTCCGCTGTAACAATTTCCAACGATAGACCGAGGCTTCTCGTAGACGGCGGGTATTTCGAATCCGGGAGCCAGTGATGATGATATTAGATCGGGGAGAAAAGCTTTTACCAAGTGGGCCGAAGGACTGATCGGCGGTCTAACAAGATTGCAGAGGTTGGCAAGAAACCGACGGCTGGGGGTGGGCTAATATTATGTTCCTAAGTGCTCCCTACACGGGCTTTTAGTGCCCGCCTGTCTTCCCTAATCAAACGGTAAACTCTCTCCGATATTCACTTAGTCACTGCCTCTTCAAGGGGGTAACGTTGTTTCGCCGCTCATGGGCTCTAACTTGATCAAGCCCTCTCCACGACACTTTCTACATACAAGCATACGGTTCTTTATGTGATAATTAGAGACAATTCCAAGGTTAATTAAACGTTATAGACGTCAAGCAATATCGCAACAAAGGAATGGAAAACAAGCGTCTTTAAACAGGAGTTGATAATCATTAGTATCACTGTTATATTCAGCATGATGACCTCCAAACTAGAAAAACGATATGAATATAAATTAACACGATTAATAAATTTTGGGCGAATCCTCTCGGACGACTGTGCGCTTTTAGGCTTTTTTATGAGAAAAAAGGGAGAAGGGAGAAAAAGATAGAGAGAGAAGAGAGAGAGAAGAGAAAGAGAAAAGAGAAGTGAGAGAAGAGAGAGAGAAAGAGAGAGAGAGAGAGTGAGAGGGGTTGAGAGAGAGAAGAGAGAGGGGGACTCAAAGAAAGAAAAACTTTAATTGAACAGGTTCCCTTAAGGACAAATACAAAAATATAAAATAGCTCCCTGAGCTATAGAACAATAATTCAAAATGGAATGGTAGAACAATGTATTACTTAGAATGCGATTATNTGAGTGATTTGCTTGTATGTATATATATATTACTATTATAAATAATATTTTTTACACATATATGGGCGTCGCTGGCCGCAACGGTTTAGGCGGCGTTGACAAGGCGCTCATCAATGTAAGGTAAAGATCCCGGGTTCGAATCCAGCGGCATACTTACAAATGGGAATTTAAAAAAAACAAAAAAAACACCGGCACCGTGAGGGTTACATGACCTCTGCTGTTGCGAACCCTCATAAAAATTCATAAACCCCAACTACAGCGACGACGGGTGGTATAATGTGGTTAAGGCTCGGGGCCCTGAAAAGGAGCACCTCGTGTCCTCATCCACGTCCCTCTCTCAATCCAGGTTCCTTCACTCTTTCCTGTGACCTCTCCCAACCCCTGGTTACAAGGGGGTTGTCTGGGCGCAAAATAATGGTGCAGCCCTGAGGGCGTGGCAACCTCTCCAAAGAACAAGCTGTACTCGTGACGGCCTCGGGTCGGCATGGGCGGCGGGTGCCTTATCGAAGGCACACGAGGGTTAGGGTACCAGTTCCTGTCTGCATAGACGGAGGAGGGTGTATAACCATCTGTACTATGGGGTAACAGTTCCAAATCTAGCCTCTATTACAATGGGAATGGATTCGTAGTGGTACGTGGTGACGCCCCTGGCGGGAACTTAGAAAAGAGGCTGTCTTCTACCTGTGACCTTCGCACAAAGCTTGCGTATGACCACGGTTATACACCCGGCCTCACGGGAAACGGCGGATCGGACGGCATCATATAGGCGTTGAGGACGAGATGATTATGCTGGATAGTCCCTCGAATACGTGAGTACTGGCGGATGGGAATGGGTAGTGAATCGGTTGCTCCTACTCAAGTATGCTTTGCCTAATATATTAAGGTCATTAACAGAGCAAAACAATTTTAAATATATCTACCAATTGACATATCTAAGTTTTTTTTTACAAGCAATCTCAAATTTCCTTGAAGACTGATCCTGTATATCACTTACACTCCCGTTAACGATATGACACCGCAATTCTGTCTTTTTACCCGAATTCTTTCCAAGCTACCTACATCGTCCAAGAAACCTTGAACTTGTCAAAAACTGGTGCCAAAAGTTCAAGACAAGAGTGAATGAAAAAAAGTCACACGGTGAACATTAAATTATGGTTAAAAATGGTCTTGCCCTACATTGTACACCAATAACTAGGAACTAACGACGTCGATTTAAGTCGTATACTTAAGACTATGCCTTGCCTCATACCTACATAAGAGACATTGTATCCAAGATTTTTAGGATAGACATATGATTCGACTGTCAAAACTCAACTACTTTATACTGCGGCGATTTTGGACATGACATTGTAAGGCACCGCCGTGCAATCCAATATCCAGCCCATTGCATCCTTACAATCAAAAGCACTCAGACAAATTGTCAAAGCTCCTTACCATGTTGCCACCCTCACTATCCACGATTTCCATATTCCTTCTCTCAACGAACTGTTCCGTACCCGATTCCAAAAGTTTCACACTAGTCACTCGATCTATCCTAACCCTACCACCTAAGCTGTCTATACACATTGCCATCCTGAGAACCCTGCACGAGGTATTCGATGATGGTCTCGAGAGAAACACAGGTCACTTCATCCTTCAAGTCGTGCAAGATATTTTATTTTTTTTTTTTTTTACGAGGGTTCGCAACAGCAGAGGTTATATCAACCGTCGGGGGTGCCAGTGTGTTTGAAAAAAAGCCCATTTCTACGTATGTCGGGTTTGAAAGCTGGGCCGCTGGATTCGAACCCGGGACCTTTACCTTACAGCGATGAGCGCCGTGACAACACCTAAACCGTTGCGGCCACACAGCCTCAATAGTTGTATTATGTATGAGTATGTACCGCCTCAAAATAAAATAGTTTAAAAATTAAGAAAAATACACTCATTCACTTAGCACCGAAATGAACCAATACGGTATAATCATTTAATCCAACACATGGATAAAAAGCATGATATAATAGTAAACATATGTTTATAATGTTTATTTCCAAATGTTCTCATGTTTACGAATTTTTTTCCACGTCAATTATCATGTTCATCAAGAAAACTTGCGGTTTTCTTTAGACTGTGCTCGTGGATTCTTTTTCTGTTGTTGGTTTGCAGTGTGATCGGAGAGAAAAAGCAAGAATCCAAGATAATCGGTGGACGCAGAGCTCAGGAGGGAGAATTTCCGTATGTGGTATGCATACGAGGTCAGTTCCTATGCGGCGGTGTACTTTTGGATTTGAAGTCGGTGCTGACTGCGACCCGTTGCTTTTATCGTGCGAATGCGGTGGTGACTTTGAGCAAAGTGCAAGTAGTCGCCGGTACCATCAATCTACGTGATTCGATTGCACAGACAATCGGAGTGTCGTCCTTCTTTCCACATGTTAATTTTACGGCAGAAAAAACCAACACTTCCTACCACACCGTGCACGACATCGGTATTGCACGGTTACTGTATTCGTTCGAAGAGAATCCGAATCTGAAACCTTATTCGATATTTCCCTTTCATTCGGCAGAAGAGATGGAAGCTTCGTTTCGTGAAACTCAAAAAGCCGGCTCAAGATGTTGGACGATGGGCTTCGGATTGAAAGGAACCAGGAAATTAGCATATTTCTTGCAAGTTATCGAGATAACTATGTTGCCTGATGAGGAGTGTGAAGGTTTTTCCACGAATTCAAGTGATTCTGTGATTTGCGCCAAGTCCGCTGAACCAGGCAAAGCTAGGCCGGCCGGTGGTGATTTCGGCAATCCGCTCGTATGCGGGAGAAGATACTTCGGTGTCACTCGAGAAGTTGTCTTAGTAACCGACACAACTACAATTGTCTTCACGCCGATTTGGCCATACCTGAGTTTTTTTAATTTAAACCTGATATCGTCGGGAACGGTACCATCCCTTACTGTCTTTTGGTGTTTGACAGGTTTTCTAATCTTAGACATAATTTCTCAACTATAGGTACATAAATTAAATAAAGAAATATGTATGATTTTTCCACTGGTTAATCTATCACAGTCATGTAAAGTTTTTAATAAAACATTTTCTTGCGTCTAAGGTCCCCTTAGTTTTCTTGTAGGTAAGTACAAAGCACAATCGTATGATTTCATGCCAAATTAAAAATGATTGTGGGTAGTTTAAATTTAAACTTGAAATATGAAAATAATATTTAAATTTGCGGTTGTAATCAGTTGGCCTTTCTGCAATCATTCCTTGTTTTTAAAAATGTTCTTTCATGGAGTAATAATACAATTTATAAATATTATACAAACATAATTGTTGTGAGAATTCCTCATTGGAACTGCGGGGTGTCGACCTCTCAACTAATTTAGTCAAGTACGTAGAAAAAGTAGGACAGAAACGAATGCAAAAAAGAGTGTGAGAGTATGGGCGAGAAAGAGAGGATGAAAGAGAGAGAGAGAGAGAGAGAGAGAGAGAGAGAGAGAGAGAGAGAGAGAGAGAGAGAGAGAGAGAGAGAGAGAGAGAGAGAGAGAGAGAGAGAGATAGAGAGAGAGAAAGAGATAGAGAGAGATAGATAGAAAGAGTGACATACAATGAAAAATATACCGATGGAAAGGAATCGATTACCAGAAATAAAGAGAAAGAGTTAAAAAAGATCGATTAAAAATGGAGAGTGGCGCGTTAAAGAGAGAGGGAGAGAGAGAGAGAGAAAGGGAGAAAGAGGGGAGAGTGACGTACAAAGACAAATATACCGATGGATACATTGATAGATGAAAACAAAGTTGGAGAGAAAAAGACATCGATTTACATAAAAAAAGGACACAACACCCTTCATGTTTGACTATACAAAATCATCATCCGCCACGTCCAGACCATAACGGAGAGGGTACATGAGGTACCATTGATAGCAGCATGATTAGATGTGAAATTACCTCCAATGCTCTGCGGGATGATTAACTTACATTCTTATATACCCTCGCTGATTTTGTCATGTCACGCGTTTCGAGAATCACCACTTCTACACTGAAGATGCCGAAGCGCGACTGACAGACAAAATCAGCAGACCATAATTATAATCGAATGTATAGTATGAGTAGTATAAGCCAAAAAGGAAAGCTAAATTAATTTTTAAAACTAACTTTTTACTAAAAACAAGAGCCGAATTTAGCATGTATTTATAACCATTGTTGTATGACTGTACTAGTTAGGCAGATTCTCCTTGTAATGTACTTTATAATAAAAATAGCAGTAATGATAAGAAGAAGAACGTCTGCAAGTAGGACTTATGCTGAATTCTGTTATAGTTCTATGTAGGTTTAGTAGTTTTTGAGAAAACCAGGGGTAACTAGGAATTCGACACTCTGTATTACTAACTGTTGTGTAGTTATTGACTTTCAAACGATTTGTCACAAAACGAGGATATTTCTTCATACCGGCGGTGGGAAAAAATGACAATCGGGTCGAAACCGTTGCTTCTCCGGTTGCTGCTCCAATCGAAATTCCCGTCCATAGTCGATAGACATTCCTCGGATATCGCAAAGCCGTTCGGCAGAAATGGAAGAACAGTTGATATAGGCGACGGGTTTATATCGCTGTGCGAAGAAGGCATTGCTCACTGAGTGAAAGGGTACAGATCTCCTCTTACGCCCCGATTCCCAAATTTGATAACGGACCCATTCCACCGAAACACTCCTACACTGAATATCGTATCGTATATCACCTTAGATTACCCCCCCTCGGTTTGTCCTGGCGAAATCCAATTTAATCGCGACACCCGTGCACTGTAATTCATCCCTACGTGCCGACTGCGCGTTATGAAATCGTAAATTCTTCTGAGTGGATATTCAGACTAACCCGGACAGTCTTGTTTCGCTGTGCTCATTGACTCCACATTCAATTGTGTTAGTGCTTTCCCGGTCGATATTCCACCGGGCTGTTTCCTTCCTCTGCGAGGAAACTGGATTTCCCGCTAGGAAAAACCAATTTAAACCTTGGCTTGAAAGTCATGTACAGCTTTTTCCACATTTAATCGGGACACGATTGGACACTAATTGATTCCTCGGAGTGGAATTTATACGGGACGTAACCAGTCGCTAACACAGTTTAGAGAAAGAACTACGATAAATTATCTCGGTGTTACATTTCCGATTCCGTTCAGTTGAGTTTGAGTTACAACGAATTACGATTGAATTATTTCCACTGTTTGAATTTACTGGAAAAATTTACAGGTCTTTTGGGTGATCATACCTGATTTATAGCCTAATAAATTTATAAAGAAATACACTTTTTTAACTTCTGTCCAAATTTAAAAGTTTACTTGTTTTTACTAATCGATTTGATTATAAAATAATCAAATACTTTCCGTCAAGAGACAATAGTAAGCCTGTAATTCTAATTAATTTTAACCTGCATTCAATTAAGTATAAAGCTAGTTATTCAGAAATCGTGAGATGCGGTCGGGTGTGATGTAGGTTTCAGAAAAACATTTTTTTATCGTGCCAACGTTTCGATCTTTTATTGAGATCATCTTCAGGGCTCAAAGTGTTTGTCTTCTGTCTAATTGTGCTATCCTTGCGTGTCGTGTTGAGAGTGCCCTTTTTTGTGTTAATGACTTGCTGTTTTTGATGCTCGTGGTGATTTCTATGTTTAAAATGTTTCGTTTGAAATTTACTGTGGCTTTATATATGTCGTTAATTCTGGTGTTTGACTGTGTTAATGTGGCATTTGTGAAGTTGAAATTGTTCTTGATGTGAATAGGAAATACCTTGTATTGTCTGCATTTCAGGAAAAAAGTTCTCTGATTGATGACCGATGCGAGTTTCTTCTCATTGTTGGCGATGTCCTTCAGAATACTTTTAGCTGAGTGTCCGTATGTAGTTGAAATTTGTTCATAGAATCCCATATTCTTCGTTCTTCTCGTGGAGAAATGTGTAGACATTAGTGACCGTTAATCGATAGTTATTCAAATATCGTGAGATGCGGTCGGGTGTGATGTAGGTTTCAGAAAAAGTATTAAGTATAAAGCACTGAAAAATCGATCTAAATGGGCAACTAAAATCAATTTAGAATTAGTTCCATTACAGTTCGTGGTCCGATTGACCAATTAAAATTTTTCATTTAATTAATATTTATGAAAGGTATTTAGGCCGACACTGAAAAATGGCAAAAAAGAGGGAAAAGGTTGAAATGGGAAGTTAGTGTCGGAGCGGATCGAAGTCACGATAACTCTAAGTGATAGAGTAGCGGCGTATTTAGGCGAAGGTCGTGGGTTCGAATCCCGCTCGTCACACTGACTTTTTTATCATAACCAATACCTTTCATAAATATTAATTAATTGAAAAATTTAGAATTAGTATTCATTTCGATATAAATATGTAAGCGCGTCTCTTCTGGGCCCAACCCTGAATTCGGAAAACCGAAAACAAGGTCCCAGAGGTTTTTTTTATGATCGGACCTGACGACATAAATTTAATTTAATGATCAGGTACCTTTTTTTGATGTATGAAATTCCAATATTCAATTCAAACCAAAATAAATACGAGACCAAAATATTAATTAAATTTAAATCTTTTATTACAATTTATTTCCAAATAAGATTACAATTTCTTTTATTAATTATTATTTTTAATTTAAAGGATCTTTTATTCTATAATAAAACCCATTTCAGAATCTACAAACATTAATTTAAAATCGAATTTAATTCTCGTTTTTAAAGAAAATTAAAAGTAAAGAAAATTATTATTAACTTTTGACCACAATTAGAAAATACAATTAATATTTTAACATAACTTACACTTAACAAACTTTTAAAATCAAATGTTATCTCTTTTAGTTTTATTTATAAAATATATTTTTTGTGACAACCCTTTTTTAAATTAAAATACAATTATTATTTTTAGATTTTTGACGTCAAAATATAAAATTTATTCACTTGAATTGTGTGCATGGAGGACAGAAAGGGAATTGTTTTTTTTGACGACAAAAGAAAATATTCCTTTCCTAGCCCCTACTCCTTTCACTGTCAGATGTGTGTGGAGGGGCATGGCGGTTCATTCGAATCGAAACGTGACAAATATAAAGCAAACCTATATAAAATCTAAAATAAACATAATCTGAGGTATTAATAGCCAAAATCGCCAATATATTGATTAATTTCGAATCGATGTACCAGGTGTATATTTTTATGCAAACTAACAACTTTCATTATAATTAAAGCAATCCATCAAAAACGTTAAATTTAAACATAACTTTATATTTTTTCTGGGTCTTTTATGAAAACGGGATTTTCTAGAAACTGTAAAACTCTTTTTTTAATTATAAATTTTTATTTTTTGACCGATGTCAGGGGCTTTCGTTATTCAGTATTTTTTAATGTGTGGTGTTTAGTGGCCGTTACTTGATGATTATTTGGAGGTCGTGAGATGCGATCTGGCGTGACGTAGGTTTTAGAAAAAACATTTACTTCAACGTGCCAACGTTTCGATCTTTATTGAGGTCATCTTCAGGCTCAAAGTGTTAGTTTTCCGTGTAGATGTATCATTCTTGTCTGTCGTATTGAGACTGCCTATCACACGACAGGTTCATTTATGTTCTACTCGAAGGATCTCTGAAATCCGAGCCATGCAGAAAAAGACTACGTAATTTGTCAGAGGATAGGTGACAAGGCGTAAAAACGTAATGTCCAGACGCTTCCTTCCGCTCGTCGATGAATGAAAAGTAAGAATAAAAAAAGATCTGAACTTCTCTTGCTCGGGCTATTATTGTATCGATTCATTGTTCAAAGGAAAAAAGTCAATCACGCTGCATGTATTTTGTAAACTTACCATGAAATGATATCAGGGTGCTGTCGATTGGCTTAGAGATGGCTAGAAGAATAACAAGTTTTAAAAAAAGTACATAATTCCAGTCATACAAGAAGTCTTAACGTCAACTACCTGTTGGGTGTTCGGGGTGTTTTCATTCAATACATTTTTACACTATTATAAATTAAAAAATCATGAGCTCTGCCTAGATTCGAACCCAGGACCGCAACCATAG